GGAGGCTCATGTGGAGCATAAGCACCAGCATAGACCAGTTGAGCTGAATGGCCTGTTTCTGTGCTGTATATTCTAATATATTCTTCCACCATGTCTTCGGTCACCCTCCTTCCCCTCCTGCCCTCCATCCTCGCCAATCTTGACCCCCAGCTTGGGTCTAAAACACTGACTGTCCAGCGCCTTGGGATATTTCCCGACGTGAAAGGCGCTATACAAATGTAATTTTGTTGTTGTTACTAATAGACAGAATTTATAGATATTCCTGACAAGTGTGTATAATAACCTTAGATATTTTCCCTACAGACACATGGTGTCACATGCCCACCAGACACATTCTAGCCATGCTCCACTGGTTCTGTGTCCAACAGCAGACTGATTTCAAGATCCTTGTGCACATTTTCAAATTCTTCCTACTCCCCATTCCAGCCTATTTTCCATTCCTGCAATCCAACAGTCTACAATCCAATGCCTGTAACTTTTTGCTTATTCCGGATTCCCTTCGCTCCACCATAAAAGTTCAAGCCTTCAACGATGACAAACCTGGCCACTGGAAGACTTTCACAATGATTGTGCCTCATTGCCTCTCCTCGGTTTTCAAAAATGTCCTAACCAAATCCTTGATTGTGTTTTTGATACTCTCTAAATTTCTCCCACATCTTGCTCAGTGTAAAGCACCTTGTGTATGATTATACAGTGGAATCCCGTTATAACACACCAACAATCTTTCAGCTCTAAAAAAGGATGCCGTCCAGGTCTTTAGGTCACTGATGATATCATTTCTGTATACAGCACATGTGCAGCAAGTGACATCAGTAGTAAGCTGATGATCCAGAGGTCTGCCTTTTCATTCTTGCATGGGACTGGTCAGTACATGGGAAGCTCTGCACGCATGCAAAGTGAATGCTGAGATCCTGACTGACAGTCGTACACGACAGGAGGCAAGTTGGGATTTTATGAACTCCAACTATCACCGTATGAAATGTTTCTGTTGTAACTGGATCTTCAGGTAAATGTTAAGGCAGGGGTTTTATCATTGCACTGCTATGCAGCATTTTCATTTGTTTTTGGAATACACATATACACATATTCAGTGTGCACATGTACTGAACATATGGTTTTGAATATATTTTCTGATATCACCAGTATTACCTGCTCAACCCTAATATGTTGTTATCAAATAAATATCCTTTTTTTGAACCTTTATGTTTTGCATGCTTTCATTTGAAGATAAGTCCAGGAGCGATCTAGTTTTATCTCTGTTATCACCCAATAACTCTGATTCCTAGATCTCTAAATCTATTTATATCTATTTAGAGATCTGGAGAGTTGTGTTTGCTTGATGTGTAACCATGTAGGGCATTACTAATTTTTCAGTAAGAGGCACACTTACTGTGCGTGTGGAATTATTCCCAGTTACTTTCTGCTGTTCTTTTGGCAGCAGCTGAAGAAAAACATCACCCCAGTGAGAAAGTCCCATTCAGTGAAACAAACATGTTTACATTTTAGATTTTGACCACCACAGGGAAAAATTTGTATTTTGGACAGGGGATTTATCGTTAGCTTAATGGGTGCTCCAATGTGGTTTGTTCATTGATATTTTCTCATATTCTAACTACAGGGTGAAAAATGTTAAATTTATTATCACTGGCAATATAAACACATCATCAGAATTTCTGCTCCTGTTGATATCCCATAAAGTGGTGAATCCCTTTCCCCCATTATAATAATATGACTAAGCTAATAATAAGTGACTGTATTTTGGGACATACAACAACGTCCCAACAATCAACAACAAATTACATTTGTCTAGCACCTTTCATGTCAGGAGAACATCCCAATGTCCTGAAAGACGTGACTCCCCATCCCCAAATTTTGTGAAAATGGTTTGGCCTAAAGTCATTCGGGGTGACTACTGTAAAGACAACTCAGATTTCTGAGATTCCTAAGTTGATCAAAGAAAATCGCAAAGACTTATGGATTTGTTTACTTCATATGACTATATGACGCAAACGCATGAATAATAATAATAATAATAATCCTTGCATTTGATATAGCGCTTTTCACGTCGGGAGGACGTCCCAAAGCGCTTCACAGAACACACTGTAAAGTGAATTGACTGTATATTTGTGGGCGAACGCGGCAGCCAATTGCGAACAGCAATGTCCCACAAACAGTCGTAGATTGAAAAATGACCAATTTAATTATTGTTTTTGGTTTTGGAGGGATTATTATTAGGCTCTGTGTGGAGTAAGGAAACTTGCCCAAGGTTTCGCCCTCTGCCTGGAATTGAACTCAGGCCTCTCACTTGCAAAGCGAGTGCTCTAACCACTGAGCTACAGGACTCCACAAAGGCCAAGGACAATGAAGGCCAAGGACAATGGAAAACAAGTGAAAGAATGTTTATGGGACAGAAGTTTTCTTCAACATCATCATGGGCAGATGTTTTTAACTACACAATGGATCTTATTGGTAATTGTTAAATCTGTGGTACTAAGCCTTGTTTGAAACAAGCTGTTGACAGCTATGGATATCAGTGAAGGGGTGAGACAGTCTGATTCAAAAGGAACTTTGGTATCTTAGTTTTTAGTAAAGCTAAATCCAGATATCTTTACAAAGTTGATGTGTACGTCTTTACAAGGTAAGGATAATTCTCAATACAATCAGAAGAGTAGAGATTTGGGGAACGTACTAGCTACCTATAACCGAGATCTTAAAACAAAAAGACAAAGAAAGAAGACAAAGATAGAGATAACTGTCAACATGATTGACGCTCACAAAGCAGCAATCTTTGTACCAGTCGAAATTCTTAACAAAGGAGAAGAGTTGAGTTTGGAGAGAGCTGAGTTTGGGAATGAAGAAGCCAAGTGCAATCAATCTCGAGGAAAGAGAGATATACTACAATCAACATGGATCAATGCACGTAAAGAAGTCGATTCCTTCATCAAAGCCACTGTATTGATCTGATCAACCCATTGCAGTGAACTTTACTAATCTGTTGTAGGCATTCATTTGATTTGATGAACTGTATAACCTTACTAATTTTTTATTACATTTTACTACTTAAAAGGAAATTTGTGTCAGTTCGTAATTCACCGCAGGGTCATGAATTTAAGTAACTCTACACTACTGAGCTTGACAGTAACAGAACTTTTGATTATGCGATCAGATCACATTGAATTTCGGCACATTTTCACCCTTGTAACTATTAAACCCAATGAACTTGTATTACTGTTCTAATAATAATTTACCAGATTTTACATAAAAGTAAAGCTTCAAATCTCTTCATCCCATCCTGAATTTTACAAGTGCCGAAATATCACTCCATTCCAAGTCACAATTGGTATAGATACAGTTCTTTAGGAATGTGTAAAGCAACCAGTTTCCATGCACTTTGATTACTAGGTCTACATTAAGTATTTCACCGTTTCCGCTGTAATTTTATAAATCAACACAAAATGATGGAAGATGTAGTTTTGAGGAAAGACAGAAGGAAAATATGCAATAAAGTTGCTCCTTGGTCCACATAACATACCAGAAACATCAGTACATCATTTCAACATCCAGATCAATAATGTTCAACATATCATCATCGTGATCATTAATAAACATTATAACATCATCCTAAACAATAACGTTCACTATAACATCAACCAGATCAATCATGTTCATCATATAATCATTATAATCATTCTGATCAATAAGGAACATTAAACTATTGAAGCAAAACGGTTATGTTTAATTTTGTTTTAATGAGACAACTCGTTAGTTTCTTTAGTCACAGACAGTGATTTTATTAATACCCTCATGTCTCATTTGAAAGCAACATGGTACACCAGCATATAAAAACTGATTCTTGTGAAGTGCAGTTCATTAGTTAATGACTAGAGGTACAAACATTTAATATTGTGTCTGATCACATACTGGAATAATCAAATGACTGGATCCTATGAACATTCAGAAAAACAACTGAATATTACTTGCATTTATATGAATTTACAAAATATTTATTTTGTATCCATTGAACAAATATTACTGTCCAACAAGAATATTGCTGTGAAACTCAAATTCTTATTGCAAATTCTGTTCTGGAGAAAATTGCTAATTACTATCCATAATCTCATAAAAAAAGGTTGCTTCTGGATGTCAAACACAGTTAAAGTTGGTGCTTGGATTAGTAACAGCTTCAATAATCACTTAAAGAGCAGAACTGAAATTTAGCGCTGCTTTTGATCAAGGTCTAATTCAATTTACACAGATTTATTATTGTTAATGTTAAATTGGAAACGCGAGGCTTGTGACTAACTGAAGGCCTAAATTAACCAGTATTGTTCTCATTTACTTTTCAATCCTCCTACTTCAGGTACCATAAAGTGCACTTAATTCAGTCAGTTACTGAAATAATATTAATCTTTGTATTTAATATTGCAATTGTTACGTCATCAAAATATTGCAAAGAGCTTTATAGAATTTTACTGCAAAGGGTAGCAGTTGTATATTTTTAAGCGAATCCGACAACCAATTTGCACACAGCAATGTCTCACAAACAGTCCTGAAGTGAAAACATCCTCCACTTTTTGAATAGTGGCGTGGGATCTTATTAATGTCCACTGGAACTGGCAGACGGGACCTCAGTTTAATGTCTCATCTGAAGGACAGCACCACTGACATTGTAGACCTCCCACCAACCCACCCCACCTGCCAACATGTCATTGAAGTGTCAGCCTAGACTGTGGCATGAGGCTGGAACCCACAATCTTCGGAGCAAGAGACAAGAGTGCCACCTGATAGGGAGATACACCAATCGAGATACATTTGGTGAGTGAATACTGACAGGAAAGCTGTAAACAAGATAAACACAATGATAATAGTATCTAAATTTGTGTCAACGAGAGCCCTAAGAATTGAAAATCAAAAAAGGTTTTGACAGATATCTGACACCTAACTCACAATCTCAATTAATAATGTGCAACAGAGTTTCCAATATGAAATACACCACTGACCTTGGTTATTCTTGCACAAAATTGTTTGGTTACGGGTTCCTCGCCCACATTCGCCATTATTTAGTGTCAAACAGACAGCCTCTTCGATCACATGCCAATCATAACATGTCGGGTTATCACAAGGAATGGCCTCCGTAAGGTATGGACAGCTTTGAGCATAGCCAGTGGGTTCTCGAATCATGTGGCGTCTTCTTATTTTAAAGCCTATGAATGAAGCAACAGTCTGTTTAGCAGAGGAAGAAAAAGACACTTGTTCAAAAGGACTGAATCAAAAACATTCACATTATTTAGGTCAACAAATTAAAACTCATTTGCCAAGGCTGTTTCTCCAATTCCACAGATCATATTCCTTTAGCAATCCCACAATACTTCTGGACAGTAAAGGCAGCATACTTCTGTGGAAGAGCATTGCCAGTCTAACCACTGAAAGTGTACTTGAACTAAAAATGACAAGAAATGATGTGTGAGCAAGCACGGTGTGATTACTTCTGAAATTTGCTTCTCAGATCTGGTTTTAAGAGAATGGACTGAATGTTTGTTCCTTCTAACAGCTTTAAAAGACTCCAAGTCATCTCTGCTAGCTGGTTTTAGTGCAGCTGCACAATTGGGTCTGTAATAATGTCTATTTTTTTGCGATTGACTTTAGTTCCTGAAACTATCGGGATAGATCAGCCACCATACACATGTGAGGATGCACATGTCCACAACAGTGGGTCGGGGAAGAGTGAATTCTATTAATCTCTAGTCTTGCTTGAGGTCTTTTCATTTTAAATCTTGGTCCCCTAATTCTGATCTGATAGTCTAAATCGTATAATTTGCTTCCAACAATGCCTCTAGCATAAACAGGACAAGTTGCACATGTTTCTGAGACGCTACCCTGTGACTAGGGCGCTGTATAAGCACAAGTTGTTGTTGTTGTCTTGAAGACAATAAGAGGAAGATCATTAGGGCAGTGAGAACAGAATTTTGGGGTCTCCAAATTTCAATTCAATTTGAAGATTTTTTTTTGCCCCACAGTGATCTGAATTGGACTCAAGAGAGTAGAGATGACAGACATTATAAACATAGTGGCAAAACAGTGAGCAACTTATAAATAAATACATGCAGATTCTTCTAATCAGCCACAGTGGTACGGTGTGTGACTGACTTATTTAGGGGAGGAGGGGGGATAACTTGGAAGCAATCTGTGAATATTATCACATGAAGCCAAATTCTCAGATATTTTGATGAGTCTTATTACTGATTATAGAGTAAATTGCACAGGTCACATCCACAAACACCATTTATAAGATTATTTCCATCCTATACTTGAAAATGCAAAGATTACACAATAAAATAAAGGCTGTTAGATTGTTCTGGTTATCACAGTCCTGGGAGCACCAGAATCGGAATATTGAAGCAGATTTCTCCAAGCCCAGAATAAATATTTTTCATATTTTTCATTCTCACAGCTCGGATCTTGCCTGTCCTGAATTTGGTTTAATGGTTTCTCAACATCGCCAATCACTCTTTGAAAAAAGTGAGGAGAATGATTTAATAATAATTATAATAATCCTTGCATTTAATATAGCTTCTTATCACGTCTCCGAAATGTCTCAAAGCTCTACACAGAATATATTATACAACAACAAAATTACATTTATAGAGCGCCTTTCATGTCGGGAGGACGTCCCAAAGCGCTGAACAGTCAGGTGTTGGGACCCGAGCATGGGGGAGGGGTGGTGTAGGGGTGAGGGAAGGCAGAAAGGTGGGAGGGGGAGCAAAGACACGGTCAAAGAGAAGCGTCTTGAGACTGGCCTTGAAGGATGTGAGGGAGGAAGCGAGGCGAAGGGAGCGTGGGATGGAGTTCCAGAGTGTGGGGGCATAGAGGCTGAAAGCCCGGCCACCGATGATAGGGCGGGTCGGGCGGGAGACCTGGAGCAGGCCAGAGCCTGATGAGCGGAGGGAGCATGCAGGTTGGTAGGGAGTCAGCAGGTCAGAGAGGTAGGAGGAGGCAAAGCCATGGATGGCCTTAAAGGTGAGGAAGTGGATCTTGAACTCGATCCTCTGGGGAATGGCCAGCCAGTGGAGTTGGGCGAGGGTGGGACTGATTATAAAATTAATTGATTGTATATTTTGTGGACGATTTATGTCAGAATTGTCTTTTGTGGCTTTTGGAATAACGTTACAAGTTTGCTTTGCTCTCGGAGAAATTCACATTGATATTTCACTCTCTCCAATCCCAGTCCTATAATATCAGAATGACTAATCTCACCATATTGCATGCTCTTTTCCTCAGTAGCACATCACATAATATATGTGTTTCTAGCCACAGGATACATCTTTCTTCTGTGACACAGTCATTTCATTGCTTGTGCAAGCAACTAAACTAAAGGATGAATGCGGCTGCAAGCAAAAAATCTAAGTCCCTATAGGTTCTTCATAGGTCGTTGAGTTACTAAACTGTGCAACCCATTGAGACTGTTTAGAAAATATCAAAAAAAATTAGCATGTCTTCCAAAATCTGTTTGAATGTTTTGAGCCATTTTGGCAGAAGTTCATGATTTACAATCCTCCAAAGATCTAACAACAGCATACCAGAGAGAAGATGCAACAGACCTCTTTATCACAGTTGGAAATCACATTAACAGCGAAAAACAAACATTATTTGCAATGCAACAAATCATCTGAAAATGAGCTTTTGTATTTACACCTGTATCTTTAGTGCTTCTTGGCCCCCTTGCTTACCTCACCCACACTATTAACACTATATATCAAATATGTGGACTCGCACATTAATCAATGTTCCAAAGCTTTTTGGTTTCAGGAAAGTAAATTTTTACTTAATGCTGCAAAAATGTACAGTGACCTGCCTGGAAATACACACATGATGAATGAATCATTGCCTTGAGGAGAGATTACAGCCACTGGGAAGTCAACATTTCACAAGAAACGGTGCAACTCACTGCAATCACTAATGGCACTTATGCCATCATCAGGGAATGTTATCAGAAACAATGGAGTTCAATAAGGGAGCTGAAATTGCAGTTTTTCTAATAAAAATTCCAATTAGAAATCCTGGCATCCCATGGAAATTCCACACTGGCAGCAAATCAAATGGAAGTAGAGTTCCCACCTGTTGATATGATATATGTACTTAACATAAAAAAGAGATTGGTAGAAATTTCACATTTTAAGGCCCAAGGTTTTAATTTCTCAATGCTATTTCATGACCACATCTTAGTAAATCCATCAGTAGTAAATTTAATCAGATAATCAAATGCGAATAGCAGTAATGCGAATTAATAAAATAATCCTTGAAAATAGGCTCTTGATCTTTGCAAATGAGTCAAGCATTTATTTCGCTGGGGATAGGTTTAAAAATATATATCTTAGAGAAACAAGTATCAGAATGGTATAAATAAAGCCATGAGTCCATTAAAGAAGCTGTGGAACATTGGCAAAAATTTACAAAATTAATAAGTGTTAAAGGTTGTGCTGTGCCAAGTTCTAAAAAGATTAGATTATTTTGAGTATGAATCTAGATATGTGTTTGGTTGGCAATCACTATCCCAAAACCTGTCACCTCTCCAGGGATAGTACCAAAGGTTGTCAAGAAGACTCAGGTCAACTCCTGGTAAAACTCCTGGTAAACCTTTGCAAATAAACTTTAAAATCATCACTAGCAAGTGCTTTGAAAAGTACACTATTTGTCATGGTATGAATTATAATTTAAACATGGATGTTGGATTAGTCATGGATTAATGTAAGATTATCTATATAGTGCACTTACTCAGGATGCTGGAAACATGGAATTTACAGTTGTTTGACAATGGGAAATTATTAGTGATGGGAAATTATCTGCTGCTACAAGTATGCATTCAATGTATTCTGCATTCATGTGTCTAGGCAAATTAATTGGTGATAAGTGTTTTGATAGGCCTACTTAATGGTAATCTTAAAGCATGTTGTTTGTGCAGCTAACACAACCATAACGGTCAGGGCTTTGATTCACAGTCTACACCTATACCTCTAAGATTCACCATCGAGTCAAACAGGCTAGAAAACTATCAGCAACATCATTGATTATTCAGGACCAACTTACCTTTGTCAGGGCATCTTCTCGGAGCCCAGTTCAACCAAGGGAAACCTCTCTTACAATCTCCCACCTGATATTTTTAGCCTTGGCATTAAGGTGAACTCATATCAAAAGGTTAAAGGCAATTATTTAGGGTTAATGATTCAGCCAGTTACCTGATGCAGCACTTCCAAATCACCCAGTTAAGTTACCTTGGAAATCCCATTTTGCACCTTCCACAAACAATCCACTGATAGGTTACATGTAGTCTCAAGTGTTACTCAACTGTCCCATAATTCTGTGGCATATCTCATTCAATTTCCCACTTCAGTTCTCCGCACTCACAATTTCCTACCACAGAGCAGTTATAGGCATATATGAGGAAATTAGACAACCAAAGAAGTTGATGGACATGTTGAGCATAATCCCTGTATCTGTATCCATTGGTGCATTGAGCAACTTCCCTTTGGAACTCCACTTTCTATTTTTTGTAGTTCTTGATTGGGGTGCAGGGCTGTGAGACGCAGGTGTTCAGAGCTTTCACTTTAGGTCGTAAACCAGGCACAAACAAAACACACAACAAGTTTGGTTTTCAATTGTGGTCCTTCTTGGTTTTTCTTGTTTGCCATGCTAATGCATGGTGTCTTATTTGATGCCTGTTTTTTCATTGGAGGTTTGCTTGAAGAAATCCACAAAAACTGGCGACTCTTATTTTCAGGGTACCTTGCAATGCAGAGGAAATTACGCTTTCATTAACTCCTCAATCCTCAAACATGCCTGCTGAGCCAAGGCAGCCTCAGGTTTTGTCTTTCAGTCACAGACGGTAATTCATCAAGGACCTTATGAACCGATACTTTTTCCTCCACCTCCTCCACCTCCTTCTTCTTTTACATTCATCACAGTTTCTTCTTTTCACTGGTTGCCATTACAGTTGCATCAGCAATTTGGCGGAATATGTTTCTGTGAGCACTTTTACTGTACTCTGCTGGTATTTTGCTTAAATCCATCTATATCCCAAAGATCTGATTCCCAATGGCAATAAATCAAGCGTTTACTCATGTCAGTAGGTGAGTTTAGCCTGGATTTAATGCACACAGCAAACACATAATATTTAAACCGGCACTTGTTGTGCACCAGTATTGAGCACTGTTTAACTAATGTTGTCTCTTTTCTGCATTATCAGACACATCAATTTACAAACACTATCAGGAACAAACCCACACAAATACTGAATAAATCATAAACTAGAAAGAAAGACAGAACTGGAGTGCAGCAAGGTGATTTTTCTATTGGCTCACATTTCATAAAGATCTCATTATTTTAAAATCTTAAGAACTGTCCACACGTTATACTAAGCCTATCCTCAATTTATTTACACAAGCAAATTACTAAACGTGAACACCTCACAGAGCAGTGAAATTAAATCACTCTCGATGTAAAGCCGAGCTTTGAGTATCTGAGAAACCTTCATCATCTCATCAACCCACTATTGATAGTAGGGCGCTGGAAGGAATTTATTCTGTTCTATAGAGTGGCCCTAACAACGACTGGGTTCTATAACTGTTTGTTCAAATTGCAATGTGAACACTCTTCTTTAAAAATGTGTCACCTTCGAGACCTTCAGTTCTGAAAGTAGTTAGAGAATTAATGGATTAACAGTGAAACAGTTGGCACGGTTCATCTGGGTCTTGTGCGATCTCTGTTCAAATCTACATTGACTTATGAAACAACATAATGTTATTCCTCTCTCTGAAACCTATGAGTTTTGAACTGATATGATTTCAAACACTTTCTGTACAATGCCACAGAACAAACCTACTGAACCTGTGGTTATGATTGACAAGTCTTAAGTTAACAATTTATCTCAGGTGCCCGGCTGAGAAAAGAAACCACCTGATTGATGTTCAGTGTTTTTTTTTAAACGGGTGAGATTAATCCGCATTGTTGTAGGAACTGCATCTAAATGCTATCTCTTTTCTAATGAGAGTGCAGCTGATTCACCCCCAGCTGCACAGTAATATGAAGCAGGAAGCTGGAGTTAATAGATAATTACAACTCCGCATTGCACGCAGAGAACACCAAATTTCACTATCAGTTTTTAGTATTATTAAATAGCTGGTCAAACTTTGTGAATTCCGAGAAGGTTACATGAACCTAGGAGGAACAGCCCAAGTATGATTCATACCTATACTGCAGCAATGGGTGTGAATCACACTTGTCCTAAAACCACATCCTCCAGTGTTCATGTTGGCTGAACCCTAATTTATGTTGCATGCGGTGTTTCCCACCCGTCTTTACTAGTCTGACATTGACAACTGAAAATCTAGGTCACGTCTCCACAAAGATTAAATTTAAAATTGTAACCTTTTTTCCCACGAATGTCCTGGCAGTTCTCAGGAATGCAGGGTCCCCAGGCAGACCAGGGTGAAAGCAGACAGGCAGTAGGGCAAGCAATGGTGCAAAGCTGTGAAGTCACAGGCATGGATCCTGTGCAGAGGCTTGTATGTACCGGCCGAGAGACTGGAAGAAAAGAAATCCAATTATTACTATTGTCATTCTCTGGATTCCTGAATATTCTGTTAGTTTTTCCATCAGTGCACTGGCACACTAAAGAGTGAAAGTAATATAAAAGTGAATGTGATAAAACAGTAAAACAAACCATTTGTCTCTCTGTCCTAAAACGTTGGAATATTGTTTTATGGATACCAGCAAAACCTCCTGTATCTCTTGGATACAGGAATATAGATGTTTAATTCTCCATATGTCAGTTTAGTCGCAGAGGGTTGACAGGCTATTCAGCGTAGAGAGGCATCAGAGCAAAGGCTAAAACTGTCCTCACATGGGATCCACCTAATTTATTTTCTGCGGGTGTAGTCTAGTATAGTTCCCAATGGGATCTCAATTTTGTAGGTAAATTATCATAAAATGAAAATCTACTTCAGAATTTCCACAAGGATATCTGATGTGGAAACTGAAAGTGTACTCTAGTGATCCATTGGTGTCCCTGGGAATGCTCTTCTATAGTTGAAGATAAAGTAGATTTTTGATGCTGAGAAGAAAGAGATTTACTCCACCTCCTCACCTAGGAGTCTCTGATGCTTAAAAAGTACAAATTCCCCAGTATTCACATCTGTTACTTTGAAGAGTTCAACAAAAGGCAAAATTGTGAACTAAATTTAAATCAAAATGAACTGTGAGGAAAAGGTTGCATGATTTTTTTTCATTTCCTCAAAAGAGCAACAGGTCAAAGTAAAGGAAAATACTACTGTAACTTCTGAAAGAATAACAATGTGCTTATTAAAATACATTCTTAACTCAGCATTTAGCTAGACAGTCCACAGGGACTTCACAGGGGTCAGAACAGAATCAGACACCCATGTAAATAAGGTTCAGTTACAAAGGAGCAATTAATGAGCTAGAAAACATTATAAAGTGCTTAAGTACAAAGACTCAACATAAAAAGAAAAAGGACCCAATTAAATATGCAGATTCAGTATCTCATAAGTATTGAAACAGAAATATACATTCTTACATCCCAGGTTTGACAACACAGATAAGAAATGCTGAGCTTGTCAGCAGGCAAAAAAGTTCAAAATTATTCAACTGGCTTCTGGAACATTGCTGAAATGAAATTGATCTGCCTTGACTGTTGTTAGGTGCCTTCTGAATCTCCTGTGCTATCATTAAGTAGTGGAACAGCCCAAGGCAGAATTTCATTTTATTTGTTTTGCAACAAAAAGTACGTTTACCCTGAATTTCTGTGGTGCAAATCTACTTCAGTGGCTCCCATTCGGAGTGTTATATTCTGTCATCTTCTGAGCATTGTTAAGATGGGGGAACGCGAGCATTGTATTCATTTTATCCTTTTTTAAAAAAAATTCCTGCGACCATCATTCCAGTAAATCAGCTGTTCCTAACAGCTTTGCAATTAGAATGATTACCCCGGAAAGTGATCCACCAATCAACTAACAACCAGGTTTCTCCTTACTACAAGGTAAGCAGAGGAGCGTGAAATTTGCCTAAGGTTTCACCCCCCTGGGAATCAAACCCGAGTGCTCTCTCTTGCGAGGCAAGTCCTGTAGCATATTGGTTAGAGCATTGGTTATTATTATCCTTACATTTGACAGAGCGTCTTATTACATTGTCAAAACATCTCAAAGTGCTTCACAAGATTTTACTATAGAGTGTACTGACTGCATATTTGTAAGCAAACACAGCAGTCAATTTGCTCACAATTTGTTAACCTTTCCTTTCTTGATGCAATAACTGCTGAAAGGCATTACCTGAAGTCCGTGTTTGTGAACATACGTTCATATGACTTGGTTAACCTGCAGAGAGGCAAGCAGCCGCTGGTTAAACTCCGCACCTCCAATTGGTGGGACCCATCGTTGAATGGGAAGGGATGTGTGCCCGAGCTGCAGACAGGAAGACGGTGACAATGTTCTCATGCATTTCATGCTGAGATGTGTTGCCCACTGGGAAGCTCACAGGGAGTTCCTTGTATACTTAGTGAGGGCTGAACCCAGGCTTGTCAGATATTGAACGACCAACTAAACTAGTGATTACCCTCCTTGGGGGGAGGGAAGCGGGGTCTCCTTGGAGCTGCACTGGCTGTAAGGTGATATGCTTGGCAATGGAATGTCGGAATCGAGCCAGCCCTCTGTGGCGGTCCCGGTTGTCTGATTCCTGAGCCAGACGGGTCCGCAGTATTCCAGGGCACTGCTGATGACAACACAGCCAGGCTGGATAATCGGCAGGAAGGCCAGACCAGTTAACAGGAGCTGAGTTGGATGACTACCTGTTAACTCTGCAAGCCAAAGCCCTAATTAGAGAAACTAGGACTGTGACTAGTGAAGCTAGGACTGTTCTCCTTGGAGAAGAGAAGGCCAAAGAGAGATTTAATAGAGGTGTTCAAAATTATGAGGGGATTTGATAAGGGTGAACAGGGAAAAACTGTTTCCTCTAGTGGGTAGGTCGGTACCAGAGGACACAGATTTAAAATAGTTGTCAAAAGAACCAGAGGGGAGATGAGGAGAAATTTTTTTAGACAGCGAGTTGTTCGGATCTGGAATGCATTGCTAAAAGGGTTGTGGAAGCCGATACAATAGCAGCTTTTAAGAGAGAAGTAGGTAATTATTTGGGGAGGACAAGTTTGTAGGGCTATGGGGAGAGAGCGGGGGAGTTGGATTGAATTAAATAGCTCTTTTCAAAGAGCCGGCACAGACATAATGGGCCAAATGGCCTCCTTCTGTGCTGTATAATTCTATATTCCTATGATTCTATGTTTTCTCAATGTCAAACAAGAATATGCATTCAGGGACAAAGTAGCCTCAAATACCAAAGGTAACTTAAAGAAGCCATTTCCTTCCTGATGCACAAAATTCTAATTACATATTCGCAATGGAAAAATAATAATAGGATAATAAAAAGGACAGTATTTTAATGATCAGTACATGTTCATGCTCAGAAACAGGGTGTCAGACTTAACTCAAGTCATACAGTACTCTGTGTTAATGTGTGGTAGAGCTATTTCAGTATACAGTAATAAAATCCTGAGATAGTACAATTTATTTGTTCCAATTTTATTGGTTCTTGGTTTATTTGTGAAGAAAACTTCAAAAGGTGTTACAAGCTATAATCGTGTATCTGTTGTCACAAAAACTGTGAGGTATTACGCTATGTCTGCAAATCCCCAACGCAGTGAGTTCTGTATTTCAGCTGTGCTGTCAGGGGAGCACTTGAAGAGCAGATGACCCATATCCTCACAGAGCACCAAGAAAATGTCTGCGAGTGAGTAAGGAATGGCTCACTGATAGGATTCGCAAGCACCACTGTCTGAGTGCAGGGGGGGTACATGGGACAGGGGAGACTGGGTGATCTAAGCTAGGGGAATCCATGGGATTGTGAGATTTAACATTAGACAGTCTAATATACAAGGGAATACAGGTAAATAATTGGCTGTGTACACTTGACATTGAGATCTGATGTGCCTTTGCAACATACATAAACTACAGTCCACAGTGTCACTCTAAATTGTCTTTTAGGATTTTATATCAAATCATATTGCATGTCTCATAAGAAAAAAAAGTGGATTACTATCTGTCACAGAAGCTACATCTATTCTTTATGGTAATGCTTCATTGCCACTCTGTTTGAGTCTATATTGTAAACAATTTCCAATTGTACCATGGGATCTATATCTTCCACCAGAGTAGGCTCCTCGGTTTCATGTCTTTTCTGAAGGATGGCAGTTCTGACAATTCATGCTGCCCCAGCACTGCAGTGGGGTGTCAGCATAGAATATGAGCTCAAAGTCCTGATATGGAACTTGAATCCACAACCCTCTGACCTAAAAACTAAGAATGAGAGTGCTACCAACAGAGAGACTGATGGAGTGTGCTACCAATTGATACCTTTCATTTTACACATATCTAGGAATAACACATAAAGAAGCATAATAAACCAATACTAAAGTCAACTTCCAGAATACCTGAGAACTGAAAATCCAGCTTGCCTTGGCCTGTAAGCCCACTTTTTCATTTACAATTGTACAGAATTATAGAAAACTCTTGAATTTACAACACCACCAACAACTTGCATTTACATAGTGGCCTTCACGTGAGGCAGTGTCTTGGAGTACTTAACTGAGTGGTGGGGAGGGAGCACGGTCAAAGAGGAAGGCCTTCAGTCATGACCTAAAGAGAAGGAGGGGGCAAGGCAGAAGGATTGAGGGAGAGAGTTCCAAAGCTTCAGAGCGTAATGCTGAAAGTGTGGCTGCCAATGGTGAAGGGAGGGGATGAAGGACAAGCAGGAGGTAGTGGGTGGTGGAGTGGGAAGAAAGGAGGTCAGAAAGGTAGGGAGGTGCCAGGGTGTGAAGGGATTTGTAGACGAGTGAGATGATCTTGAAATCGATCAGTTCTGTGATAGGGAGCCAGTGGAGCCCAGTAAGGACTGGTGTGATGGGGGTTAATTTAGTGTTAACTTGGAGTTTTTTATTCACAATTCCTAAAAGATTTACAAATTCCAAATTGAGAATTGAAGAATTTTCCATAAATTCTATACGATCTTACATTTGAAGTGTAATGGTCTCACAGGCTAAGGCAAGGAGAGATTTCAGGCCACCGAAGTATAAACACAGACATGTGACACACTGCACCAGAGTCTCAATTTAATACTGGAACCACAAACGACAAGCAACAGTCAACACTTCCTCAAGACAAGTGACATTTTGCTATTGGGGCTTGCAGCTTCTCCAGCTGTAATTAGAAATTGCTGTCTGTGATCTCAATCTCTCCTGAGTCTACCTGTCTGCCTTGTTTTCAACTTCTTCATTCTTACTCTTTAGAATTCAGGCTGGATGCCATATAAGTAGAATTGCGGCCAGTGGCAAAGAGAAAGGGGGAGGAGGGCAGTATATTTTCTGTATGATTTAATGTTATATAATTATACATTGAAGTGCTGCTGCTTGATAATCGACTACAGATAACTTCCTGACTGAACCTGCAGTGGTAATGTCACAA